ATATCATATAAATTAGTGTTTGGATGTGTTTGTTGTATGTAAAGCATGCATCGCCGATTAGTTGGTTCAATGAAGTAATAGTGTGCTTCTAGAAACTGGCTTTTGTGTAGCTTGTGATGAATCACGGTCTAGATGCAAATAATAGTGCATAGTTACTGTTTAGCTTGTAATGGTAGTGGTATTTGTTTCATTTGTTTTGCTTGGTTCTTTCTTTTGCATATTCTTTATTCCCAGTAAATCCTTCCATTTTCATTCCATTCCTTAACGCCAAGGCGAGAGAGAGATGGTTCTTTTGTTGGGATGCAAAATAGTTTGTTGACCCATTTTTTAAGATGTGCTTAGGTTCTTCATATCTCAACTTCTGTAAAGAGATGGTTCTTTTGTTGGATGCGAAATAGTTTGTTGACCCGTTTTCTAGAATGTGTTTAGGGTGCCTATTTCTTCATATCGCACATGTGGGTCGCTCCACCTTCTTTCGCAGAGTATGTAAACTATCCTGAGTTTTGCTTATTGTGCAGTAACTATGTCTGTCTGCTCATTAATGTCGAAACTCGTCACTAGGCTAGACGGAACGCTTTTCTTTTGTTGGTGATCTTGTGCAGTAACTATGTTTGTCTGCTCATTAATGTCGAAACTCATCACTAGTCTAGACGGACCGCTTTTCTTTTGTTGGTGATGGACTTGCGATGAGTTGATTTGTATCAAATTTCATTTCAGAATGCATGCTAACTAGACTTTGTTGGGTGCAAGAGGCTTCTGTCATAAACCAGTTGGTCCCAATAACTCGAGTTGTTGGGAGAAGGTTATACTGGATCTTATACCACACTCTAACACGCCCCCTCAAACGAAAGTCAACTCACGGGCTTGAAGTTTGCACATGCCCACCATACCTTGTGCTTTAATAAACTATTAATATTGGAGGTCGTGAAGATTCGAACACATGACCTTTCGGTTCTAGGCTCTGGTACCGTGTCAATAACCAGTTGGTCCCAATAACTTGAGTTGTTGGGAGAAAGTTATGCTGGATCTTATACCACACTCTGACAACTTCCTTGCGAGAAGCTTGGTTGCTTCATGAGATACGTAGAAAGAGAAATTCAAGAAGAGCATTCTTTGTGCTGCTTTGTGAAAATATCCTGAACTTTCTATGCTTTTATTTGACAACTGAAACAGTAGCCTGAGGTTGGCGCGTGGGATATTGCATTCACAGCACTTGACTGTATTGACTTGTGATTAGTGGTGGATGCATATGCTTTCTGCTCTATCCTTCTTTTTTATTGACTGTTTCCCTTAACTTGTTAATGAGATGTGTATTAGTCCTTAAGCTTTGTTTCAATACCTCGCTACCCGTTGGACGAATCCATTCATACATGAATCTGACCCAATTTCCACCTCTACAGTCATGGGTTCTCTTTGATTGCCTTGTAGACAAGAGTGTGTTTAGCCATAATCAACTTCTGAGAACTGCTTGACGGTGAAGCCTTTGTAACGGATTGCGGCTGAGAGGCAGCAATTTCTTAGCCAAGTTTTGATGATGTCAGACATTTTTTAGCAAAAAAATTACTATTCCAAGCTTCGTCGAAAAGAAAGGCCAAACAACAATGTCAAGTCGGGTGGTAAGTATTATCAACCATTCCCCCTCTATATATTTGCTTCTTGATGATGGACAAGCAAATTTTTGGCTTGTTTGTTGTTGTGTTGCTAATTTTTTCTAGCAACTTATTGCTTCATTATCGGGTCTCCATGATGTCTTTGATTTACAGGTGTCTCTAGACCCCATTGCAATATATATCTTTTTTGTTTGTAACATTTAGGGAGACTTAGTAGATCAAGCAAGGAGTGTCCGAGAAAATTATGCTAAGATTGATGATACAGAAGATCCTCTAGGTTCGGTGCTCGAAGTTAAAAGTGAAAATCCTGCTTCACCCAAAAATAAAGATGCAGCAAAGCCGCGTCCTCTTGCCCAATGTAGTCAAAAGCGAGTTTCTACGTAAAAACGTTTTGGTGATCTAGAAGCGTAAAATCGTAAGTTTTTAAGTTTTAAAGCGGAGTTCTTAACTACATAAGTTATAAAAACTGAGATTTTATGTAGAAGCGTTTTAGTAAATATTATCTTTCTCCGTCTAATTCTCACTTATTTTTCATTCTCTCTTTTTTTTTCTTCCTTTTCATTAAACACGAATACGAGCATGACACGAGCGCGAATAGGAACGACACGATTCGAACCGTGTCCCGGGCCTGGGCCGGGCCTAGCAAAGTTAACAAATGGGCACGACACGACATGAAAACTGACGGGCCGTGCCAAGCACGACACGAAATAAATGGGCCTGAAGCGTGCCCGTGTCGTGCCGGCCCAAGCACGGCCCAACGCCCATGTACATTTAGGCCTGGTCTGTAACCGTTTCCTTTACCATATTGGATTAGGTTTAGACCCACACGGAGAAGTATAAATACTTCTCATCTCCTCTGTAATTTGTAATCTCCCCGATATAGTGAAAGTTGGCTCTCTCTTGCCTGTGGATGTAACTAACACACATCGTGTTAGTGAACCATGTAAAATCGTGTGTCTATTTTCAATTCTCGCTTTCGTATCCTTGCTTCTCGATTCCGGCGATTTCTTGATCCGTAACAGCGCAGGAATAACACTTGGATTCTAGAGATTTACAGATAAAACCCTTAATCACTAAAATGGCGTACACAACCAACGAGTCCTCTGCCGCCTAAGATCTCCTAGCCGAGCTAAAGTCATTCGAAGACACAAAAGCAGTATCAGTTTTCATGGTCTGTGCTTACTATTTCAATTTTTTCATTCAACAAATCTTTGTCACTCAACGACAATATTTTTTCTGGTACAATGTATGCATCATGTATAACTTTATACTTTGACATTTCAAAATCACAAACATATCTATCAATCATCCTATCACAAACTTTATCAAAGTTTTGTTCAAGATGATCAAAATGCTTATGTAAAGAGGTCAAGTGAAGATGTACATGTTGGTCGATTCTACTGATTCCAACCACCATTTGATGAATTTCCTTCATCATTTGGAGAAGTGATGGAACTGTTTCACTTGGATCTACGTTTGGAGCCAAGGGTAGCACCTCTAGTCCAACAGTGTTGCCTGAAATCCCCCAACTTGATAAATTTTATCACTGACCAACTGCTCCTCCTCCATAAAAGCATGCAGAAGATCATCTTTTTGTTGCATCCATCGCGAAGCCATACCAAACACACGTGCCCCACCGGGTGTGCCAATTTGTTAACTGTGGGAAAACATGTGGATGAGGTGCGCCTGACTTATATGAAGGTGAAGATTGTTACTATGGTTCACACCTCTTCAAACACTTTTCGAGCGAGGGTGTTTGGTGTCTCGAGAATCTACGTTTCCTTAAACTATTCCTATGGAGATTCCTTGAGAGCTCCGCGATTACAACTAAGACTACTGTTATGGAGGATCCTTCATGGAGGAGAGCTCCGTAATCTACAGAGAAAAATGAAAAAGAGACAGTTGAGACAAGTTGTCTTTGTGTTGGATTGTGTTTTGTCTCGTTTGTTCTAGAAGTTTGCTTCAAGTTTTGTTGCTCAGAATCGTCCATTTGCTCTCTCTCTCTCCCCTCCTCCTCCTCCCAGAAAGTATCCCCGTTTAGTCTCTATGAAAGTCAGTTGTCGTCGTAGTAAGTCTCTAGACACCTCAACATGTTATCCTGTTTCAACATGGATGGAACCATCCAACTAGTATGGTATCCATGATACAGGATGGTGCCATCCAATTAGTACTTTGGATGGTGTTCACGATATGGGATGATACCATCCAATTAGTACTTTGGATGGTGTCCATGCTATGGGATGGTACCATTGTACATGGGCGTTGGGCCGTGCTTGGGCCGACACGGCACGAGCACGCTTTGGACCCATTTATTTCGTGTCGTGCTTGGCACGGCCTGTCAGTTTTCCTGTCGTGTCGTGAAAAGCCCATTTGTTAACTTTGCTAGGCCCGACCCAGGCCCGAGCACGGTTTGAATCGTGTCGTGCCTATTCATGCTCTTCCCGTGCTAGTATTCGTGTCTAAAGAAAATGAATAAAATAAAAGAGAGAATGAAAAAGAAAGTGAAAAATTGGACGGAGAAAGATAGTATTAACCGAGAATGTTTGAGAAAAGTAACAAATAAGGGGGACAAGAAAATTGAAAGTATAGCGGGTGTGATTTGACTTTGTTTAATTCTTCGTCCATTTTTACTTATGGTAGTAATTACGTATATAATCTTTATGACATTTCTAACAACAACAAATAATTATTTTTCTACTTGTATTTTGTAATATTTGAACCTATAATTCTTTCTATATTTATTTTATATTAAATAAATGTTATTTTTGTGCCATGTTTGTTCTTATACTCAATAAAATCTCAAAAATATTAGGCCCAACACGGCCCACTTATATATCGTGTCGTGCCCGTGCCCATGCTCGTGCCCATGCCCATGCTCGTGCCCGTGCCCGTGCCCATGAAGTTTAGGCCCGACACGACCCATAAATTATTCGTGCTCGTGCCAGGCTGGCCCATTTATTTCGTGCCCGTGCTCGTGTCGTGCTGTGCTAGCCCGTGAGCGCCCCGTTGCCCACGTACAGGTACCATCCATCTTAGGGTTGGATGGTATCCTTGATGTGGGATGGTCACCATGCACTAGGAGGTTTGATGATGTCCACTATATGTGATGGTACCATCCATTGTAGGGTTGGATGGTGTTCGCTACATGAAATGATACAGTCCAGTTTAGGGTTGAGATGATATCCATGATATGAGGGATAGTCATCTTTCACTAAAAAATTAGATGATATGTATAATGTGCGATATGGTCACCATCCACTATATGAGATGGTCGTGCACACATGGTGACCAAATATTGAATGCTCACCGAGGGTGCAAATATTTTGGTCTATTTTTGGCACAACAATTGGCTTTAGCTATAGCCTATAGCCTTTCGGTTGTGGTGAGTAAATCCGGTGCGGTGAAAATTTGGGTTGGCACTTGACACTTCGACAGCAGAGTAAATCCGGTGCGGTGGTGCGTCTCTTCTTCAGGACAGCCGGACGGAATTACCGAATTAGGGTTTACCTTACCTCCATCGAATTCGTTTCACTGTCTTTTTTTCCCGCCCTTGTAACGTTCTTTGTGGGGTCCTCCTAGTCCGCCGGCGGCGATCGACTTCTCAAAACTACCACAATTTAACGTTTGCTGCCTCCACCGTCTGTTCCTCGACAGCTATTTCGTCCCTTCAATACCAAGGCTGTCGATAGGTTTCGTTTGATTTCTTGATCGAATTTGCGGCAAGGGGGGAGGGAGGACGACAGTTTTATCGCTGATTCGGCGTGCTGGCTTCAGTTTGAGATGAAACGGTCGAGGGTTTCAGGAACAGAAAAACACCACAGACGAGACGACGCTGAAGCTCATGCGTGGTTCATCAAGGAACGCAAGGAATTGGCAGCTGAGCGGTTCATCAAGTTATGCAAGGTACTGACCGCCGACTGTACTGAACTGAAGAATCTTTTTGTTCTTGCGTGCGTTCTGAGTGGATTATGTTTATGTATCGAAATCGGCAACTTGACAGGAAACATTATCGTTGCATCCCGTCACTCAAGCTGTTTGCGTGGAGATTTATGGCCGAATGGATAATTTCATCTATCCATCATCAAACCTTGCCCTCTACTGTGCCTCTTGGGCTGAGATTGGAAATCACAAACCTTCTACCAATCCTCGCCTGGTTAGAATTCTGGCACACTGCACTAACAGTAAGTAACAGTCTGATTTATATGAACTCATAAACTGATATCATCAGTGCTTTTGTTTCTTGTAGGTAGATGAAGCAGTAAGACTTTGGTTTGCATTTGCGTTATACTGTGCTACGAGGCTTACAAAGTCAGTTGGAGTGCTGAATAAAATGGACTCTTATGCTAGCAAGGAGGAGCTTACTTTGACCCACATATTAAGATCTTGTGACCTAAAGTGCGTTCCTTCATACTAAGGATGAAGTGCAATCTGCGTGGGTGATTTCTTTACTCAGAATTAGGGGTGTTCTAGGTCTTTAACTCCTGTTTTGTTGTTCTTTGCATCTCCAGACTTGAGGTTTTCCTCAAAGAGCTACCAATCATGGTCCTCAAAGCTGGGCCTGTGATGACTGATCTGTATCATGCTGGCTGGGAGAGAAAGCTCAAGGTGCTATATAAACAATGATGCTGTATACTGATTACTCTTGGTTAGACTGCATATTTTATCTGCCTTCTCCTGATGACTTACTAGAGTTGTTTCCCCCCCTACCAGGCAAAGGAATTGTATACCAACTTTGTGCACCTGAACATTTTAAGCAGGTGGGTTAGTTTTTCTTACTCTACCGTACCAGAGTTTCCATGATTTTACTATTCTTGCTTGGATAGGGTGTTCTGCAGAACTGGATAACCCTGTTTTTTTAGTAATTCAAGGAAAATTATCTTAAAAGTCACTGTGCTGGTTCCTCAACTTTTCGCTTGTTGGGTGTTCATATTGGGTCTTTCTTTTCCAGTTACTCAATGGACACATGGTAAATCTTAAATCTTGTAATATTGAAACTTAGGCTATGTGTAGAACTGTCATATCTTTCCCTAAGACTGATTCCATCTAGTGCATTTTTCATTTTCTTCAGTTTTTTGTTGTTGTTTCATGTGAAAGGCACTACAAAGAAGCATATTGGGAGCTCTTCTCATCCATAGACCCAGCTAGCAATAACCTGCCAGCAGCCTCTAGTGGCAGTCAATGTGCTTCAGACTATCTTCGTCTTGGGTGGTTGCTATTTGTGGCACTCCGTTCACATGCGTTTGGTTGTTCCATGGACCTGGTGACCTGCATAAATGGTTTGATTTCTGTACTGGTAAGTTATGTTCTTCATTCGCCAGATGCTTGAAGTTTAGTTATTCCTTTGAATCTCATTTATCACTTATATCAATTGATTCCCAGAGCTGGCCTGTCATTTTCCTCTAGTCTGGACCAGCATCATTCTTACTTGGTTATGAATATTCTATCAGGCTATTCTGATTATGCATGTGCCAGCTCACTTCCGAATTTTCAGTTTCAAGGATGACAAGTGGTTCGGTAATGATCTTGTGTTTGGTGTGCTCTTTCTGATATCCTTTTATTTTCTCCGTCTGTTATAATTTTGGGGCCTCTTCTATAAATAGTTTGATATGCTTCTAATATCTGTTAGCAGTTATGAAAGATAACAAACGGGTTGATCTGGTTGCATCTCTTTCCAAAAAGTATGATACATCAGAAGATGACGTGTTGAATTCAATGGAGAAGATTGTTACTCTAATAAGAGAAGTCCTGCAAAATAAGCCCCGGACTGCTGCTGATTGTGATAGCGAGACCCTAGTTGATATGAGAACTGGTACTTTGCCTTTCGTGATTTTGTAATCTTAACATGATAAGCTCTCCTGTTTTGTTCTACAATTCAAAGTGGTAGTTTTGTACACAACTCTATATTTTCAGTACACAAAGCCGTAACTTTTTAATGCAAATTTGGTCTTCATCCATGCAGATGGTCTGATTTATTTTGAAGATTTGATGGGGGGTTCATCTCTGTGGAGGATTTGTATTATGCTGGAGATGGATTATGATCGTGCAATGTGTAAAGAGGCCCAATTGGATGAGAGAGTTTTTCTCAATGAGGCTGACAACTGTGCTTCTGCTCAAAGTGACATGATTCCTGCTACATGTGTGAAAACGATAATGACAGCTGCTAATTGGCTCCGGAATGTGGTATCTCCACTGTCAAGTGTGCCTTCTGCACAATTGATGCAGTCTTGTGATGGGTTTCCTGTTGTTCAAAATGCTCTTTTAGCGGTAGAAGCTTTATTTCCATGTAATGATGTGGAGGAGGAGGGTGTTTCTATAAGTCTCCAAAGTACAAGCACAGTCGACAACATATGGGTAGAGCAAAGGAAACAGGAGGTGCTCAAGATATATTATAAGGTTTTGGAAGCAATGTGTACTGCATATGGAGCCAATCTGAGCACATTATTAACCATGAAAAAGTTTCACAGCTGCATGCTTGCTTGTTCAGTTGAACTAGTACTCGCAGCACGTAAGCCTGCAACAATGTTGTTGTTTCCTGCAATCCTGGAGCAAATTGACATTACAGCCTTTGAACTTGTCGAGGTTCTCCAGTGTTTTCTTAGGCACGAGGAATCTATGCCATGTGAGTTGAGGATGCATTTGGAATCACTGAAAGAGCGGCTTTTGGAGAGTACCGTTTGGGAAGCAGGTTCACTGATGTATGATTCACTCGAAGTTGCAGAGCCTATGCTTGTATCAGAGGTTGCACGTCTCCGTGCCATAGGGAGACTGCCATACATTAACTTCTCCTTGGATTCAATTGTAGCACGTATACATTTGTCTTCTGTCTTGAAGCACGAAATGACCCATGGTAACTTCTTCTAACTTTGTACTTTATCAGAGGTTCAGAGATTTAGTTGGTGTATTTGTAACTGTTTTTGAAACGGTTGCACAGGACTTGCCTTTCTAACATCATTAGATGATAATGACATTTTTTCAGGTCCATGCACTAACTTGAGGAGTGGAGTAGTGGAGCAAGGATCCCGTGCATCAAGAGTAACGGATCATGTTCCATCAGTGATACCCACAAGTTTACATTGTGCATTTGCTCGGTACTTGTGCTACTTAATTTACCAACTGGTGCTCATTGTTGGCTCGTCTTTTCTTGTCTGAGGTTTTCTTCAATGTATTATGTATACAGACCAAGAGATCCCTGTCCTGGAAGAGAGTTTGCAATGTGTGCTGATATGGCTATTGATGCATTCTTGAAAGAGGTGACAGACATTTTTTTAGTTTTGAAAGTTGGGATATTGTGGCCTTGTGGTTTTCATTCCCTTGGGTGGTCCACATTCACTATGGCATCCCATTTTTGGCTGTGTAGATTAAAAAGTTAGCTTCAGTTAGAATATGTGGCATGGCTGAAGAGTTGGAAAAGGAGCACAGGAATTTTAATGTAGAAGTCTGTCGGAAGCTATTTAACGAAATACTTTATAGACGCACTGCGTTGTTTTTCAATCTGCACATCGACGCAATAATCATTTGCTGTTTCTTTCTTACTTCTAAGGTATGTTAATATGTTATAGTAAGATTGAATACTGTATATATCAAGATTTGATGTAATTTTTACGTATATTTGTTTTTTTTTTCTTCATAATGTCTGTGTTATGTCCACAGATTACAAGACTAGGTCTGACTATGATGGATCTACTTTTGCGCTACATGAAGCAACCACATAGTAAGCCACAAGTGTTCCGTTGTGTGTTCATTGATTCCTCAGTGACCAAGGAGCACAGACTGATGTTCCCTCATCTGGTATTGGGGTCCTCCTACAGAGTATGTACAATTTGTTGCTGTGCTTTATTTTGAGTTTCCAATCATTTCTTTATCTATCCTCTTTTAATAATTGTGAATGTGATTTGAATTTAATTGGGAATCAGGTGCCCCAGGCAAATCACGAGCATGTTGGTATATTCTCATACTACCCTCAGTTTTTCGAATATTACACCAAACGTGTTGTATCAGGTGTTAAAGCCGTTTACTGGAGGACACGTGGTACGTTATGTATATGTTTTTTGTATATTGCCCATGTTGTTTGCCTAGCAATGATTTATACATGGTTGATTTATATTGATTCCACTTGGTTATGTACTGGATTTTGTCTGCTGTTTTGGAGTAGGAGATGAAGAGCTTCGTCAGATCCCTCCGCATAAGGTAATGCAATTGTTAGCTTTGGTCATTTGATGTGGTGTCTGTCTAATGTATTGGTAGAATTGAAAACTTTTTTTGATGACTGGCAGTGGCTGGAAATTGAGGTCAAAGAGGAACACTCTAGACTAGAATTCATTTTTGATCAAATGCAAGAGGAAAAACTTGCGAAATCTTACATTGGCGTATGTCTCCTCTCTCTCTCTCTCTCTCTCTCTCTCTCTCTCTATCTCTCTCTCTCTCTCTCTCTCTCTCTCTCTCTCTGAGTATAAGATGAACCTGAGTCATCATTAGAATATATATTTGAATGATCAGAACAATGATATTAGGTGATGCATGCATGTTCTTTAAGGTAAATGGTGAGGTGTGTCATTGTTAGGCTTGATGTAAACCTTCCGACTTGTGATATTTTCTCTCGATGCCTGACACATGTTTTGTAAGCAGATCGTGTGTAGAAGCTAGCAGTCTCTGAACTGCCAAGTGAAAATTGTACTTCTTAGCCTGGCGTCAGTGACATTGTAGCTACGTTGTGGTGGTTTGTTTATAGTCAGATGGTCGATTGTCTGTCACGGAGTCGAGATGAATGAGACTTGTGTTAATTGTCTTTGCATTATGCAGGAGGTGAGGGATCAGATGGAGAGGGCGGGGATGGATTGGGAAGAACTGGATTACCTTAGGACCGGAACCCCGATGTATGAACAGCTGGTGAAAGGGTGTTAAGGCAGGCACCTAGCTAGATTCTTGGTTTTACTGGCTGCAGTAGTGTTGGAGCTTTTGATTTAGGGGCTTCTTCTCTTTGCTGGGTGCTCGGTCTTGGCGTTTATTTTTTTGTTGCTGTCGTTGTAATTGTAAATGTTATAACTGAACTTAAAATCGTATGACCTGCTTGTGATGGAAATCATGCCCGTGAAATGAAATATACAGCAGTTTTTATTTAGCCTGGGTTGCAGTTAAGTGACCTGAGTTTACATG